TTTAGGTTAGAACGGATAACAAATCTTGCTCCCTTATCAAAATAAATTTCTCAAGCATGAATTTGTTCACCTCAAAGTACAAAATAGAACATATACAGCATTGTACTAAAATCAAATACATTTCAGTGACATACATAATATAATTAAGGTGATTCTTAAATCCAGAGTTTAATTTTGCTGTTTCTTGTTCAGTAATATAGAGAATACAACTGCCGCCATATCTCAAAGAATGAATGCCACAACCACTATATTTTGAGTCCAAGTACTAATAAAAATCATCAAATTATAATGTGTGAGTTATTTCCAATGGCCTAAAGCCAGAAGGATCACAGAGTTTTGTTCCTCAACAATCAACATTTTTCACAAGGTGATATACAGTTGCTAATTCTCTATTTTAGTTTTTAACAAAAAAGATTTATATTTGCACAAGGTTTCAAAGTTGTTCCAAATAATTATCTTTTTTCTAAAGGATCCATACTATACAGTTGATCAGTATTAAAAATCAAAGATACTCATAATTTAAGGTGACCAGATGTCCCGCTTTTGGCGGGACAGTCCCGATTTTTGGAAAAAATGCATGACAAGCTAGGGTATACGGTTTTCGGCTGCCATGTGGTTATTTCACCATGATATGAGTTTTATCAATGGTGTCCCACTTTTGTCCCACTTTACCAATGTTAAGATCTGGTCACCTTATCATAATTACCTGCAAAAAGATCTTCTCTGTCATCATCCAACACAACTTCTGTGGGTTTGGGGCCATTGGAATTTGTACTAATATCTTCTGCAGGGAGACTAGCAGGTTCTGGAGATGATGGGCTTGACTGTGAAAAAGAAATAGGTAATAGATTGTGATTATGTCCTTGTACCAAACAACTCAGTCATCTAGGAGATGTCAACTTACAGCAGCCCTATAGCTTAGAGTGGAAATGTCCCTGTGAGTTTCCAAAACTAACTTTCTATGGGCGTAGAAAGGCCAGTCTTTCCCCTAAGGAGTGGGTGGTAGTTTTGAACTGGTGACCTTGCAGAAAAAGTTGAAGTTGTCGAAGATTTTGTCTCACTTGGATCCACAATCAATGCTCATGGAAAAAGCAGTCAAGAGATCAAGAGTTACTGTAGTAGGTAAATCTGCTGCACAAGACCTCTTTTTTAAAAAGTAAAAGATCATTTAATTGGGGGCTCTTACAGGTCTTATGACAATCCATACATCAATTGTATCAAGCATATATGTACATATGTTGCCATCATTATTTCCTAGACATTTACTTTCTATTGAGCCTGTGGTATCAGTTACTCTTTTTTCCTCCCTCCCCAACCCCCCACACTCATGACCCTTTGATAAATTATAAATTATTATTATTTTTTCATGTCTTACAAGGTCCAACGTCTTCCTTCACCCACTTTCCTGTTGTCTGTCCCCCTGGAAGGGTATGTGTGTGTTTATTTGTGGATCATTCTGATTGGTTCCCCCTTCCTCCCGTTCCCTCCCCCACCTTCCCCCTACCCTTCTGGTATTGCTACTCCCATTCCTGCTCCTGGATTCTGCATGCTGTGAGTTCTTATCTCGTATTGTACCTGTTCCAGTATAGCCCACAGTAAGAGGCAGTACTGAGGTCATGATACTGGGGGATGAGGAAGCCTAAAGGAACTATGTGGGGTTAAAGGGAAGAGGGAACCCCACAAAACATCACAGGTTTGGTAGGCGTAATTGTACAGCGATAATAAGTAGAGATTATAGTAAAGTCATGAGCATGAGAGTTAAAGGATGGAGTCAAGTAATGGAGTCAGACGCAATTCATGGTAGCATTGCTCACCTCAGC